CCCGCAGCCCGGGGCCGCCCGGGGCCTCCCTTCCTCCTTCCCTCCCGCCTCCGTTTTTCCCGCGTCAGCAGCTGCTGGGATTGGGGACGGTGCGTTGTGGTTTGGCCGCCGCGAGGCGGGAAGCGGGGCTGGAGCTCCAGAGCGCTCGGTTGGATTCACCGCGGGCTCTGCCTCGTCGGGCCGAGGAGCAGCGCGGGCGGAGCGGGCGGGAAGGCCGGAGCCCGGGGCCGCGGGGAGGGAGAGCTGCCCCGGTTCTGCCGGGCACACACCAGCCCGCTGCCGGAGGGAGGTTTTCTCCGCTTCCACTGACATAAACTGCGCTGACAAACCATTTTCCTGTTGTAATAGCTGCGTCTGTGGCAAGAGGTTTTGTTGGCAAAGTTGTAACTTTATGATGTGCTTTTATTATTTTATTTTTTTTTCAGATTTCCTGTAAATCAGAAAAACAACTTGCCCGGTAACACCGGTGAAGCGTTGCCACATCAGGTTTCCTAGTATTATAAAATAATTGTGCTACAGGAAGCAGTCCCTACTTTACAGTCTGATTAAAAAAGCCTCGCCTCCCTCTCCAGTGCTTTCCTCAGTTGGAAATAGCCCTGGGGGTGGGAACTATGTTGGCTTCATCTCTACAATTCTCCTCCACATTCCCAGCAGTACTGGGAATTCCCCTGCTGCAGATTCACAGCGATCCCCTCGGCCAGCCCTCCTTGAAAACGGGGGGAGGTGTGTTGGATTTGCAATTGGAACTGCCGCCTTGGGAGTCACAGGGAAGAAACACTGAATTAAATGGGGTGGTTTCAAGCACCAAGAAACAGGACAAATGTAGCAGAGAGCTGCTCATTTTTATACAGTTTGTAGAGTTTCTTCTACTCAACTAGACCAAAACATCTCTGCCACAGTTCTGCTCCTATTAGTATTTCTAGTACTCGTATGCTTATCTTTCAATGTAACCTTGTGAACCAATAAATAGAATTCCTACATGAATTACATCACAGAAATTAGTATTTCCTTTAATGCTACATTCCATTAATCTTACCAGGCATTGTGTTTATTTTTTCGTCCACCTTCTCTGGAAACACTGCAATTTGCAACTGTTTGAAGCCCTAGTAGTTTGGGCCAACAGTTGTGTTATACAGGCTACGAAGACCTTTGTGATAAATGGCACCCCAGAGTTACATTGACAGTTTTTGGGTTGTTTAGAGCATACTGGGAAGTGATGGAAAAGGAGAAGTTTAAGTCCTGTTCTTGGACTTACTCAACTTCAATTCTGAGCTACAAAAATGTACAGTACTGCTATTTCAAAGGATAAGCACAGCATGTTGGGTGCATTCAGGCCTGTTCAGAAGTGCTCCATGAATCCCTCAGGCCCCATCACTGACCCACATTGATTAATCACACTGTCCTATTTCTCAGTGTATCTTGGTTATTTCTTATGTCAAAGCATTACAATAATACAAAAACATTTTAGAGTAAATACAGAAGAATGTTTTTCCACTTGATTTATTTTCATAATAAACCAATTAAAAATACAAAAGCCAAGGACCCAAGGTTCAGAGGGCTCCATCATTTAAAAATTTGTCTTTAAATACAAATTCACTCTGTAATATGAATACATATAACATTAGATCTCTAAACATAATGATCTTATTTGCATCTATCAAAAATTTGTATGGAAACAAATTAGCTGAAAAAACTTCCTTGTGACACTGAATGTACATTATTTACAATCAAAAAAAAGAACTCTTAGCAGTATTAATCTCAAATATCTGCATAAATTGTATATATTTCTTTTCCTTCCCCCCCCTTACAAAATAATCTGAAGTACAAAGCAAGATTGTTAAGCTTCAAAGTTGCAAAATGGCATGAAACATTTGCCGTTACCTTCTGTAATTAAATATATCTGGTGTTTTCATATAAAATATAGACATGGCATTGTCCATTACTGGAATAAATGTTTTGCATACTCTCAACAGGAGTGTATATTCCATTTTGCACACACAAGAGCTTGTGCTGCAAAAAAAAAAAAAAAAGCAAGATGATACCTGGCTATCAAAGTCTAAAACTGGTATAATTCACCAGTACGGAACAGATACTTGATCATAAGAATTCATACACATGGAATGAAAATGTCCCACACTTAAAGTAACTGTTGTTTCAAAAGTTACATGATACACATACGGATTAAACAGAAAAGGTTATAATAATGTTATTGCAATGTAAATCAGCAACAGACTGAAAAGACAGAGTAAGAAAAAAGTTTTGAAACTTTGGCCAACAACCTCAAGAGAAAGTCTTCATAGCGTAAAAAAGCATGTTCCTTCATGCTTGTATTTTGAAACTTGAGTAATATATACTTTTATTTATATGATAACATTTAGCAATTACCAGAATATCAAAATCCATTCTAAAGCATGAATTCTAACAATTAACTGCAGAAATTAAGTAGCTTTGCCACATCTTGCTTCAGAATCAAATCATATATACATAACTGAAAAGGGTCCCATCACATTTATGAAAATAATCATCCACAGGGTCTTTTTTTTTTTTTTTTTAATTTATCAATATGAATTGGATTCCAATGGCTCATTTTCTTGCTTCACTTGCACGTTAGATGGGAAACCATTTGAACTGGACACCACCATCACAAACGGTTGCTGCTGGAATCTCTGCTCTGACTGCTCAGTATCATCTAATTTGTCACCATCGTCTTCTTTTTCCACTCCTTGCACACCAATTTGTTTTGTTTCTGGTGCTTTAATAACTGAAGTGATCACCGTGCCCGACGGGTGAGCCACCACCTGTGAGCTGCTAGGTGAAAACGTCACCATGGGGGTAGTGGCACTGAAGGATGAAGACGAAGCCATGTTGACTGTTCCATTGCAAATTGTCTGCACGCTGCTGGTGAGCACCTGCTGGACTTGTGCACATGTGAGGAAGGAGGTGAGACTGGCTTCTGAGACTGCAGCATGACGTTTTCTTTAAGAACCGTCATGGGTTGTGAAGTCGGAATGGCTTGTAAAATGAATTTTTGGGGTGTTGTTGCAGAGGCTGGATCTGTGCTGGCTATCACTGTAGTAAGAGGCACTGTCTGGAGTGTTACAGTATGCAGCTGCTGATTTCCAGGAGAAACAACCACCGGAACTTGGGTTGGAGACTGTAAAGTCCTATTAAGATTAGGAAAGATTACAGGGTCAGAACACATCCATGCTGAGTTATGAAAAATAATTACAGAATTACTATCGAAAAATCATGTGAGATTGTTGACATTTCATGTACCTAATACTTCTAAAAGAGTTAGCAGTCACTCTGGATCTGGCCCCGAATTCAGCAACACAGTTCCCAAAGTAAAGGTACTCTGCATAAATAATACTTCCATCACCAAACTGAACAGCCTATCTTTGAGATGTTCATCAGAAAACCTGGGAATCACATCTAAGATCTGCTTCTTAAACATTAACCAATGTCATAAGCATGACCCACTACACATCTACCATCCATTTCATGAGGTACCCTAAGTAATTCATAAATCATGAGCCTAAATAACTTTTAAGTCAGGCCTCCGTTCTCCTGGCATCCATATATACATTTATCTACATGCTAAAGTATCTGCAGTGTAAGGGTGCATCTGGTCAGGACTCTCTCAGACTCCCAGAACACACAGTGCTCTGACTGTGTGGTCTGTATGCTCCTTCTGGTAAAGCAACTGAACAGAATTTGCTCCCAAAACACCAATTTAAATTAGGAATTATTCCAACTATTGCAGGCTCACAGACTTTGGTGCCACATTACTTTCTATATATGTACAGCTCAAAGGGCAATGTTAGAGGATTAACAGTATGAAGTATCCAACTACTAATATATCACTGTACACAACTATTATACAACTACTACAATGGACAATGGTGATTTAGAGATGTGGCTGGAACACACACACTCCAGTCATGCAAATTAAAAAACAAACAAACCAAACAAAAAACCCAAAACAGGACAGAGTCCTGGTAAAGTAAATAATTTCCAGCAGAGGGCAAGAAGAAGGGAAAGGTAACTGCCTCGACACCCTCCCAGAGCTTGCTCCAGCCCACCATGTCATGCTGTCTCTGACAATCTTTTATTTCCTTTCACCTGTCCTGCAAAGTTTATTCCAA